AGGCCAATATCACTGATGAACATAGATGCTAAAATCCTCAACAAAATATTGGCAAACCACATCCAACAATACATTAAAAAGATCATACACCATAACTAAGTGGGTTTCATCTCAGGGATGCAAGGATGGTTCAATATTTGCAAATCAGTAAATGTAATACATCACATAAACAAAAGCAAGGACAAAAATCACATGATAATATCAATAGATGCAGAAAAAGCATTTGACAAGGTACAGCATCCATTTATGATAAAAAAAAACACACAGCAAAGTGGGAATAGAGGCAGCATACATAGAACTGGACAGCTACATGCAAAAAAATGAAACTTGAGCACAAACTTACACCATACACCAAAATAAATTCAAGGTGGATAAAAGACTTAAATATAAGCTGTGACACCATTAAAGTCCTAGAGGAGAACATTTGCAGGAAATTTTCAGCTATTTCATGCAGCAACATTTTTACTGATATGTCCCCTTGAGCAAGGAATATAAAGGAAAGAATAAAGAAATGGGATCTCATCAAAATTAAAAGCTTCCGCATGGCTAAAGGAAACAGTATTAAATTAAAAAGACAACCAACTGTATGGGAAAACATATTTGCCAATGATACCTCAGACAAAGTTTTAATCTCCAAAACATACAAATAACTTACACAACTCCACTCTAAGAAGACATCTAACCTACTTAAAAAAAAATGGGAAAAGGACTTGAACAGACACTTCTCCAAGGAGAACATCCAGAACATCCAGAGACACATGAAGAGATGCTCAATATCGCTAGCTATCAGAGAGATGCAAATTAAAACCACAATGAGATACCACTTTACACCGGTCAGAATGGCTATCATAAACAAAGCAACCAACAACAAATGTTGGAGAGGGTGTGGGGAAAAGGGGTCCTTAGTTCACTGTTGGTGGGATTGCAGACTGGTACAACCATTATGGAAAACAGTATGGAATTTTCTCAGAAAAATAAAAATCCACCTGCCTTTTGATCCAGCAATTCCACTGCTAGGATTATATCCTAAGAACCCTAAAACATCAATTTCAAAGAACCTATGCACACCAATGTTCATAGCAGCACAATTTACAATAGCCAAGAGCTGGAAGTAACCTAGGTGACTGTCAGTAAATGAATGGATCAAAAAATTGTGGTACATATACACAATGGAATTCTATGCAGCAGAGAGAAAGAAGGAGCTACTACCCTTTGCAACAACATGAATGGAACCTGAAAGCATTATGCTGAGTGAAATAAGCCAGGTTTTGAAAGACAAATACCATATGATCTCACCTTTAACAGGAAGCTAAACAACAAAACAAACAAGCAAGCAGAATAAAAACAAAGACACTGAAATAGAGAATAAGGGGACGGTGACCAGAGGGGAGAAGGGAGGAAATTTAAGGGGAAAAAAGCGGGGAGGGATTTGGAGGAACAAGTATAAAGGACACAGGGACAATAACTAAGGGGGGTGGAAATGGGAGGGAAGTGGGGAGCATGGGGCGGGGTGGGCTGGGATGGGAGAAATAGAAAACTGTACTTGAAAAACAGCTAAATAAAAATTAAAAAAAAAGAAATTAAAGAGGACACAAATGGAAGCAGGTACCATATTCATGGATTCAAAGAATTAACATCATCGAAATGGCCATATTACCCCAAGCAATTTATAGATTCAATGCAATCCCTTTTAAAGTACCAATGCATATTTCACAGATATACAAAAAACACTTCCAAAATTTATATGGAACCATAAATGACCCAAATAGCTGCAGCAATTTTGGGAAAGAAGAGCAAAGTAGGAGGGATTACAATGCCAGATCCCAAACTGTATTACAAGGCCACTGTAATCAAAACAGTATGGTACTGGCATAAAAAAGGAACTTAGACCAATGGTACAGAACAGAAAGCCCAGAAATAAACCCAAGTCTCTATGGTGAATTAATATTTGACAAAGGGGGCAAAAGCATAAAATGAAGTTGAAATAGCCTCTTTAACAAATGGTGTTGGGAGACCTGGACAGCTACATGCAAAAAAAAAAAAAAATGAGACTCAATCACCAACTTACACCATATACAAATGTAAATTCAAGGTGCATAAAAGACTTAATTATAAGTCATGACACCATAATAGTCCTAGAGGAAAACTTTGGCAGGAAAATCTCAGACATTCCATGAAGCAACATCTTCATGAATATGTCCCCAAAAGCAAGTGACATAAAGGAAAGAATAAACAAATGGGACCCCAACAAATTAAAAAGCTTCTGCATGGCTAAAGAAAACAGCATTAAAATGATAAGAAAGCCCACAGTATGGGAAAACATATTTGCAATGACACCCTGGACAAGGGCTTGATCTCTAAAATATATAAAGAACTCACACAACTTCACTCCAGGAAGACAAAAAATCCAATTATAAAATGGAGTCATTAATATCTCATTAATACCACAATGAGACAGCACTTCACACCATTCAGAATAGCCAACATAAACAAATCAACAAATAATTGTTGGAGAGGATGCAGGGGAAAGGGAATCCTAGTACGCTGTTGGTGGGTATGCAGACTGGTGTAGCCACTGTGGGGAACAGTATGGAATTTCCTCAGAAAACTAAACATGAAACTGCCTTTTGACTCAGCAATTCTGCTGCTGGGATTATACCCTAAGAGCCCTGAAACTCCAATCCGAAAGTACCTATGCACCCCAATGTTCACAGCAGCACAATTTACAATAGGCAAGTGCTGGAAGTAACCTAAGTGCCCATCAGCAAATGAGTGGACCAAAAAACTATGGTACATTTACACAATGGATTACTACACAGCAGAAAGAGAGAAGGAGCTCCTACGTTTTGTGACACCATGGATGAAACTAGAGAGCATTATGCTGAGTGAAATAAGCCAGGCAATGAAAGAGAAATACCTATAATCTCAGCTGTACGTGGAACCTAATCAACAAAACAAACAAGCAAGCAAAATATAACTAGAGACACTGAAATTAAGAACAAACTGACAGTAACCAGAGGGAAGGTAGGACAGGATAATGGAGCGGGAAATGGTGAAGCATTTTTGGCAACAACTATAAAGAACTCATGGACAAAACCAAGAGGAGTAGAATCAGAAGAGGGAGGTGGAGATGGCTGGGGTGGTAGGGAGTGGTGGGGCATAAATGCAGACAACTTTACTTGAGCAATAATAAAACAATTAATAAAAAGAGAACTAAGGAAATGTAAATAAATAAAACAACTTCTACAATGCTTTTTGGTCCAGCTTTCTTTGGTTGTTTACCAGTTATAGGCTACCATACCTGCCAAGGGCCACTGTACATTAGTTGAACTCCAAAGCACTTTAGAATTACAGAGTGTGGGGAAAGATTATTTTAACAGAAATAATATATTTGCCTTCTTTTTATACCCATGCATTAACCTCAGTTCATGGGAAGATCAACATATTGCTCATTTCAAAGATGGGTACTGTCTTTGTATCAGATAGTTTGGCAGGCATCCCCTCTTAATCCCATGGGTAAGTGACTTATGAGGCAAAATGGTAACTTTGGGGTTCTTGCTGAAATTATCACTCCAGAAAAATGAGAATGTTGCTCACCTCTAGGGAGGAATAACAGACCTCATTTTATCAAGCTTAACATATTTGGCCATGGGAAATGAATGGAGGAGAAATGTCAAGATATGATGATATATTTCTTTCTTATTGCAGATACTGGACAGAAATTCCAAAACAGTCTTTGTTGCTGTCCAGGAAGTAGAGCTAACAATGTCAATTTACTCACTCAGCTTGGGATCCTACTGACATCCTTCTCCCAGGGAATACTCTGGAATTTTTATGATCAGGACCAGGTGTTAGCCAGGGCTAATTCATAATGAGACTCAAAAAACTGAGGTGGACAGAGGGGAAAGAAATCTTTGTCTATGAAGGGCCCCGATGACCCTCCCTCCTCCTCATTTCAGAGGTTTGGCAAAGCAGGACAGTTCAATGGAAAAACACCTCTCACTGACACTAGCAATGTTAGTGTACATAGTGCCTCCTCCTCCAGGTGCTCCCTTTTTCTAACAAGGCCATTGCCCCAACTAGCAATCTCTGTTAACATGGTTGACAAGGTGTTCTCTATCCCCTTCCAATGGCCCTGTAATTTTGTGAAGTGTTATTTGAGGAAAAAGTCCTTCTGAGCACTTTGTCCTGGTGAATTCATCTATGCTCAGTCTAAGCACATCTTTCTATGGAATAATGACAGCTCAGAGGATATTTTACCCACTACTATTCCTTAGTTTGTAAGATTTCCTCTATAAAATCTATATCATGCCTACAATTTGGGTCACTAGTAATATGTTTTTTGTACAACAGTTAACTGAGGAAATTATAAAATCTCCTCTAGAGTTTTTAATAAGGTAAATTTCCATTTGTAGGAAGTTTATTCTGATAAAAACTAGAAAGACAAAATATTTTAATCATTTTTATTTCACAATTTTAATAGTTTTTATTTCATAATTCTTCTTTATGATAGATAATACCTTCCTTGAACACCCAATCTAAATTCTCCTTCCCTGTGATTTGCTACTAGAAAGGGAGTTTTGCTGTCTTCATTGGTTATAAAATTGTCTTTTTTGTATATTTTACTTATTTATTTCCCATCTTGCCCACTATAATATAAATAACACAAGAAAATAGATTTCATTTATATTATTTATAGGTAAAACCCAATGCCCAGAAGTGTATCTGGGATATGAATGTGACAAAAACATTTGTTGAATGAATTATTTTAGTGAATACATGAATGAGTATATTTAATAGCTAATCATCTTATCTATGAGGAAAATTGGACATGTATTAACATACTTCTTCTTTTGTACAGATTGTTTGCTTTACAACAAACTTCATTAGTATTGGAAAGAAAGCTTTAAAAGAGGAATTTAGAAAGAATCAGGCTGGATGTGTAACTCTTAAAAATAATCAAGAAATAATTTGCATTTTCAGTTCTAAAAGGTGTAAATTTCAATGTTGTTAATCACTTAAGAAAAGCTAATGATGCATATGATGTGTAACACCAAATTACTAATATCAATTGTGTTTGATTAAATATTTGCCACTAACTTATTTCCTAAGCCAAAATAAATTACTAATTTTGTAAAGTGCCGAGAAATGTACTTTATTGTAAGCAGCACCATGCGTCTCCTCAGGTGGGATCTCCTTGCTTCATTCCTATCCACACTCTGAAGGTTCAGAAGGCTTTTCCGATGTATTTCAGAAGTTCCATTCGGATCTAAGAAGTAACCCAAGATGAAGTTTGATGAAAAATATTGTTCCACATGCTTAATAGTTTGAATTTTATTGTATTTAGCAATATTCAAACTAAAGATGTTAAGGACAATTATATACAACCTATTAAGTCAAACTGAAACAACCTATTCCATGTTATATCCTCTATTACTCTCTTCAGTCTAAACCCCAAAAGAAAAATTACTGGCCTTTTTCCCTGGTACACTGTGTAGATTCTAAACACCCTTGTCGTTGCTTCAACTGTTTGGTCCACCTGTAACCTTTTATTTATATTCCTCTTAAAATTCAGCTAAACTGTCTTTTTTAAATGCTATGCTATTCTTAATTCAGCTAACAATTTCTCCTTCATTTTGATGCAGCTTCTTGGTAACTTTGTAGAGAATGCATCTTCTGCATTATACTATATTTAGTTGTGTGTGTGTGTGTGTGTGTGTGTGTGTGTGTGTCTTGTCTTCCTTACTAGAATGTTAAAGCACTGAAGGCAAGAACCACATAGTTGTCATCTTTATACTCCCCATATTATCTAGCACAGTGCCTTGCAAAGAATGGACACTCAGTCCATATTTCCCTATTTGAACTCAACTGAATTAAAATAAATTTAAATAATCTTTCTGAAGTCAGGGAACATTACATCCATAAACATTTCTAGAAAAAAGCCATTTAAAGGGGAATTATTTTTTATTCATTCTACAATCCTTTTCTACTCCTGATGCCCTATATTCCTCACTATTCTCAGTCTGCTATTCCTCATACAACCTACTTTCACTGGTGCACTTCCCATTATCACCCTTAACTGTGACTTCTCAACCACGTAGAATGGGGACTGACAGATGCAATAACTCACACTAACACTACTAGAATCACTTTTCAAGATTTTTCCAAAAGCTGATGCAAAGTAACTGAGATGGCCTTACTATATCTTCACAGAGACTAAAGATTCCCTTTAAAAATAATTTTAAGTATTTCTACTTTGTAAGATTCACCAAATATATGGAGTCTATCAAATTCATTACCAGCAACTGAATGTTCAATATTAAAACAATTTATATGAAGATTTATTAGTTCATGTTCTTCAAGATAATAAAGTTATTAGCTTACCTAGCATTCTCAGAGCCTGTACACACCTATGCTTCACAGAAAAACTATAGTAGCATAACATGCTCCACCATAATCTTAACATGCATATATGCCTATTAGGCTTCATTCTATTTTGACACAATTCATAAGTTAGTTAAGAGTTCCATTAACATTGAAGAAAACATCAAATATTCACAATACTGACAATACATATTTATAATATAAATAAATTAATGATAAATCTACATATAAGTTTTCAAAGCAATAAATAAGCCAATAATTAATTTTTTCTGGAGATATTAAAATATACTTTTAAAAATATATTTGCAACAGATATTAAAAATTGACCTTTTAAAAACTGCTGGTCATTAATCATTGCATTTATCATCTAATTCTTATTAATTCATCTGAGTCTATAATCCAGAAATATTAAAAATAGTAATGAAGCAGAGAAATATATACTTCTAGATACCTCTTTCCTTTTTTCTGTGTGTCAATCAAAGCTACAATTTTACATATTAAGCTGTATATAGTTAAGGAATAAGTGCCTCATGTACATTGAACATGAATTCTCAAGAATTCAAGACAATAAATAAAATGAACATTAACACAGTTTATTCTCACTGGATAGTAACTTAACTCTTACTGACACAATTTGCTGATCCAGAATAGGTCTGTGAATTAATCATAACACATTAATCAATCAGATTCACTATAGTGAAGATTATTAGATTTACTGTGGGAGGGGGGAGTAGGATGGGTAATGAAAAGAGAGAACCATTGGGACAACAACTGTAATATAATAACAATAATTATTTTTAAAAAGAATAAAATGGACTTTCTAAAAAGGGATTTAGGTGGAGGATTCAGTTAGTTCAATTATGAGCATTAAAATTTTTTGTATATTTGCAAATGGTACCTTGGACAAAGGTTTGATCTCCATAATATATAAAGAACACACACAACTCCACTCCAGGAAGATAAAAAACCCAAGAAAAAATGGGCAAAGAAGAGGAACAGACACTTCTCCAAGGACAACATACAGAGGGCCCAGAGACATATGAAAGGATGGTCAGCATCCATAGCCTTTAAAGAGATGCATATTAAAACCACAATGAAATACCACTTCACACTGGTCAGAATGATCATCATAAACAAAGCAACAAACACAAGTGCTGGAGAGGTTGTGGAGAAAAAGGAACCCTAGTACACTGTTGGTGGGAATGCACACTGGTGCTGCCACTGAGGAAAACAGTATGAAATTTCCTCAGAAAACTAAACATGAAACTACCTTTTGACCTGGCTATACCACTCTTTGGATTATACTCTAAGGATCCTGAAACACCAATTCAAAAGAACCTATGCACCCCAATGTTCATAGCAGCACAATTTACAATAGGCAAGTGCTAGAAGCAACCTAAGTGTCCATCAGTAAATGAGTAGATCAAAAAGCTGTGGTACATTTACACAAAGTAATACTAGGAAAGAAAGAAGGAGCTTCTACCTTTTGCAACAGCTTGGATGGATCTGGAGAACATTATGCTAAGTGAAATAAGCCAGGTGGTGCAAAGCAAATACCATATGATCTTACCTGTAAGTGGAACCTAATCAACAAAACAAACAAGCAAGCAAAATATAACCAGAGATATTGAAATTGAGAAAAAACTGATGGTAACCAGAAGGAAGGTGGAAAAGTATAAAAGGGGAAAGGAGGAGGGGTTTTCAGGAACTTCTCTAAAGAACACATGGACAACACCAAAGGTAGGTTAGGTTGTGGGTTAGAAGTGGGGTTGGCTGGTGTAGGAGGAATTGGTGGGGGGAAATGCAGACAACTGTACTTGAGCAATAATAAAAAATGTACTAAATGAATTAATTAATTTAATTAAATGTTTTACCTGTTTCCAACTGGGCTTCCACTGTGGACAATTGAGATCTGTGATAAAGATAACACTAAATTCAAATATACAAAATATGCACATAATGTATTAAATCATTTTTCTTAAATATCATTCAAAGCAGTTTTTAAAATATGTTAACTTTTAAGATTAAGGTGTCAAAAACCGCTGTTAGTAAGCCACTGCCAGGACTCAGCAACCTCCACCTTGAGCCCTTTCACTTCCCAAAGCTCTGATTCTCTTTCTCCCCACCCCCACCCTTGCCCCAAGTTTTCTTGCACCGCAGCCTTCTGAAGGCTCAGTTTCCCACTGAGGAAAAGGAATGTATCAAATGTCTGCTATTCAGACTTCCGCCAAGATGGAGGCATAGGTGGATGTGCCGTGCCTTCTCACACAACCAAGTTTAGAGACAACTAAATATTAGCAACAGAAAACATAGCCAAAACACAGAAAATTGAACTTTTCAGAAGTCTGTTAACAACAAATTCTTCAGCCTGACCGGTAAGAGGGGCGAAACCAGCAGCTGGTGGAGCAGGGTTGCACAGGAAAACTCAGTCCGATGAACTCAGGCGCATGGAATCCAGGCGCAGGGTTGGACCTAGTGAGCGACCCAGCGAGCGACCAAGCAAGCGACCTCGGGGGGAAACAGCGAGAGAGCAGGGCTACGGGTTGACTATGGTCACGCATTTGTGCGCAGATAGACAAGCGAGGGAGTGGGCCATTGGACCAGAACCCAGCGGGTCCCCACAGCAAGCAACAGGGAGGGCACCGCCATTTCCCTGCTCTGACCTCACCTCCACATACAGCATCATAACCAAGTGACTCTGAGTGGCCCACCCCTGGTGAACCACCTAAGCCTCTGCTCCTCACCCAGTGGCACAAAACAGCAGAGGGTGCCGCCATTTCCCCGCTCTGACCACGCCCCCACATACAGAGTCACAAACAAGTGACCTGGTAGTCCAAGGCTCTGCTCCTCACACTTGAAGGGTGTGAACAGATCAAAAATGGCTCAAGAAGATCTCAAAGCCCCAGAGCCTATAAATCTAAGTGATGAAGAAATAGCAAAACTCTCAGACGCACAGTTTAAAACACTGGTGATCAGGATCCTCACAAATCTGGTTGATTATACCCACAAATTAGACAAATATATGAAGGCGAAACTAATTGAAATAAATGGAATTGCACAGGAAACCAATACCAATGAAAAGGAAACTGGGACTCAAATCAATGGAGTGGACCAGAAGAAAGCAAATAATGGCCAAACAGAAAAGAGTCAAGAAGCAAGAATTCAAAGAAATGAGGAGAGTCTTAGGAACCTCCAGGACATCTTTAAACGCTCCAACATCCAAATTATAGGGGTACCAGAAGGGGGAAAGGAACAGCCACCAGTGGAAAACTTGTTTGAACAAATAATAAAGGAGAATTTCCCAAATCTGGCAAAGGAAATAGACTTCCAGGAAATCCAGGAAGCTCAGAGAGTACCAAAGAAGTTGGACCCAAGGAGGAACACACCAAGGCACATCATAATTACATTAGCCAAAATTAAAATGAAGGAGAGAATCCTAGAAGCAGCAAGAGCTAAGGGGACAGTCACCTACAAAGGAGTCCCCATCAGACTGTCAGCAGATTTCTCAAAAGAGACCTTACAGGCAAGAAGGGGCTGGAAAGAGGTATTCCAAATCATGAAATCCAAAGACTTACAACCAAGATTGCTCTATCCAGCAAAACTTTCATTTAGAATGGAAGGACAGATAAAGTGCTTCTCAGATAAGATCAAATTCAAGGAGTTCATCATCACCAAGCCCTTATTATATGAAATGGTAAAGGGACTTATCTAAGAAAAAGAAGTTAAAGAAACATGAACAGTGAAAGGACAACGAACTCACAGTTATTAACAACCACACCTAAAACAAAAGCAAACTAAGAGGACAGCTAGATCAGGAGTGGAAACCTAGAAATGAAGATCTCAAGGAGGGTTAGCAACAGAGGAATGGGAGGAGGAGAAGGGGGGAGAAGGTACAGAAAATAAGTAGTATAGACAGTAGATAGAAAATAGATGGGGGGCAAGAATAGCATGGGAAATATAGAATCTAAAGGACTTAAAAAAATGTCTGTTATTCAGAACCTCCACTATTTAGACCCCTTTTCTGATGCAAGTAGGTGTGATAATCTTTCTGCTGGTACTAAGGATTATATCTATACAAGAATTTAACAAATAAATGGTCAAGAAGGAGGTGGGGAAGATGGTGACGGAGTAGGACGGAGTGGATTCTAGCTCCCATCCTGGCAGATCTATAGAGAAGCAGCACACTAATCCATCAGTTATCCAGCATTTGTGAAATTAAAAGAACAGAGATTGTGACAGACAATGAAACACCAGAAAGCGGCAGGTCAATGGGGTCTTAGGGACTGGAGTAAAGACAAAGAGGAGGCAGGGGCCAGCACCCCCGGCCAGGTGGCCCTGGTGCTGCCTCTAGGGCCAGGGACCAGAGCCATCCATCTGAGACCAACACCAGAGGTGTCTGCCACAGGAGCCTGGGCACCCAGCAGCCCCAGTGGCCACCAGCACGGGCCAGCAGCTCCCCTGCTCCCCGTATAAGCAAAACTGGACAACACTGGGCAGAGACCTGTCTGCTTGCTGGCTTGCATTATCAGGGAGGGTTACAAAGACACAGGGCCCTATTCAACTACAGACTCTGTGATCGCAAGCCTGGGAGAATTGAGAGATGCATTGGCCTCACTGGTCTGGTTGGGGCGTGAGCTGGACCGAGAGACAGGCTGTCTGGAGAGTTTTGTTTTCTTTTTTTTTTTTTTTTTATTGAAAGTGGACTGAGGTGTTCTCCTGCCAGGGCAGCTTGGCTTGCTTCTCACCCGGCCTTGCAGCGAGCCAGGGGGAAAGTGGAGGCATTTTGGGACTAGCCGCAGGACTGGGAAGCACCCTCCCAGTTTCAAGGGTCCCAGATGGCCTGGTGGGAGCAGAGACCTCTGAGCCAGCGCCAGGGGACTGGGAAGCACCCTGCTGGTTTTGAGGGTCCCAGAAGGCCCAGCAGATGCGCAGGCGGGCACGGAAACTTCGTGGCCAGCGCCACAGGACCCGGAAGCGCCCTGCCAGTTTTGCTGGTCCCAGACTGCCCCGCGAGTGTGCGGGTGCCCACACCCCAATCTGGTAGTCTGGCTGGTACACGCACTGCCTCCAGCATCCTAGCCGACAGAGAGATCCTGCTGCAACCAGAAAAACCAGTCTGGACAGTTTGAAACCAACAAGGAAAGGGTTTCTCTATTTTTGTTGTTATTATTTTTGTTGTTGTTGCTGTTTGTTTGTTTTTTGGGGTTTTTTCTTTTTTCTGTTTTTTCCCCCTTTTTAATAACTTTTTTGTGCATTAGTTTAGTAATCTTATATATTTTTAATTTTATCACTGCTTTATCTTTCTATACTTTGTTCCTCTCCTTTCTTTTTCCGTTTTAGTCCTTCTTCCTTTCCTCTTAAACTCATCGCTTTTGCCTCCCTTCTCCTGCTTTTTTGTTTGATTGTTTGTTTGTTGCTTCGTTTCCTTCTACCCACAAGAGACACAAACAACTAGAAACTGTGAAACGACCAGAATGGGACCCAAAGAGGGGGCATCTCAACAGGAGAGACAGAGAGACAAATTTCACCTTCCTATAGCAGAGAAGCCACTAGGTGTTGCATATTTTTTCATTATTCTCACTTCTTTTATATTTTAATACTATCTCTGTATTCCTCCTCTTCCTGTATAGGCTTCTCAGTCTTGAGTAGTTATATTGTATTATTAGACAGGCTCCCCCTGTCCTTTCCTCCACAGTGCTTTGCTAATCCTCTAAACTCCATGCCACATGTTTTCCTTTGGCACACTACCTAAAGCTCTATACCCCCTACTCAGACGGATCACATAGAGTTTGTTATATGAGTGCTGCCCTAATATTAGTGTAAATAATAGCTGATCTATACAACAGTAAATACTTCACAACACATCTCCCGGATCTTAGCACATTCTACAGGTCCCTGAATTCTATCACTGTAGTGATTAACTCTATTTGCTCACACACCTATTTACTGTCCCTTACACTCACCTTACCTCAAAATCTGACCATCAAAAACCTCACTGCTTTCTAGTTACAACTAACAAGCCTTCCCTCCCCAACAAGAGGCTTATTTTTTGTCCATCTTCTCATAAAAGTGGCAAATTGAGCTGAAGAATACAGTTAACACAATATATAGTCTAAAGATCTCCTATCTCCTCTCTACCGGCTGTGACTGTAAATATCATAAAAAACTGTTTTAGTGTCATAAATCATTTTGCCTCCCCCTACAACTGACTACACATATACAATAAAAGGAGTACGTAAAAATGGAGAACATCAAGATACCTGAAGGAGTCTGCACCACTGAAATTCACAGGCATTATACCACAGAAGTTCACAACATAAACCCAGGGAGTAAGAACAAATCAATTTTAGAAGCTGAGGCTAAGAAGATGACTCTCACAAACAATGGGAAGACAAAGAAACAATCCCCAAATGAAAGAAACAGCAGAGGCTTCTGAAAGAACGTTAGATGAAATAGAGGCTAATCAACTATCAGACAGTGAATTCAAAACACTGGTAGTCATGAAGTTCAAAGAGCTCACAATGAGCAACCAAAAACTACAGGGGAGCTACAATGATCTCACCACAAACTATATCAACATGAAAAAGGAAATGGAAACTCTCAGTAAGGGACAAGAAGAAATGAGGAATTCAATTTCTGAATTGAAGAACACAATAGAAAGTTTCAAAAGTACAATAGATGAGGTGGACAATCAGATTAGCGAGCTGCAGGACAAAGTAGAAAGCATCTCACAGAATGAGCAGGGAAATGAAAAGAACCTCAGAAAGAATGAGGAGAGATTAATAGAAATACAAGACAATATGAAATGTAATAATATCCAAATGATAGGAATACCAAAAGAAGAAGAAGAACAAGGGACAGAAAACATAAATGAAAGAGTAATAAGAGAAAATTTCCCTAATTTGATGAGAG